GAGTGGAGCCACAAGTCGCTAACTCCAGGAGTTTACAGTTAGAGTAAAGAATATGAGGCTCAGACCAGCAATACTACTTATAATATCTTTTATTACTCTTTTATTACATTAGGCATATCACTTGATAGTCCAACTCTTTAATCGTTACTTCAAACATTAACATTTATAACACTCTAAATAAAAACATATATTGTACAAAAGCTGATCTAGAGAGAGAGATACTTACTGGAGAGTTGGAACCCTCTTTACTGAGTCTAGGTTATTCATAATGCTTGCTGGAGATCTGGGTAACTTCAGAACTCGCTGGAGGAACTCTGGAGGAACCGACTTCCTAGCTCCAGACATGGGTTTATATAGCAGGATTTCTCTGTATCCTGGCGAGCATCCAAATATGACACAGCATCACCCACAAGTAGTGCAGTGCTCCTATTGGATGCTTGGAGGCAAGTTTTGGACTGGTCCAGCACCACACCCAAAAACCCTCGAGCTATTGGTCATGGCCAACTGCTGTTAACCGGCTGCCTACTTGCCTGTACTGCTACACCCATGTACTGTAACTGATACTGCATCAAAGCACCGTGATGATTCATAAAATCTAAACTTTTCTGTAGCTTCTATAGTGCTAAAGAATCGAGGAAAACATCCTCTATCCTGTCCTTGTACATTGGCGTTTTGTATGCAGCACAGTGATGACTAACGAGGTAGTTGACTGCCTCTACTGTGACTTCGGCCACTAGCTTCTATACTTTTTTCAAAGTTTAGGCACGTGCTGTGCTATTACTTACTAAGTTCTAGCCTCGTTCTTGATTACTTATCTCTCAAGGCTTATTTTTTATAATACACAAGCATCTCCTTGTCCTCTTTAGTTTTTTATATGTCCTTCGAGTTGTTGACTCGTTATTTGTCCTTCGACCTATTTATTCTCTTTCTATCTCTTCTATCTCTTAAGTTTTCATTTTAATGTATAACTTAGTTAATTACATTTATTTTATTCAAATTCACAGAAGCAATAGATGAAATTTCCTCAAGAATTTCCCTTTGCTTCACCAGCATAAGCTTTTAAGGTTGTATAGCCATCCACCAGTAATCAGCAGCCTGATCTATGTATCAGTCATAATCAGTGATCAACAGCCTTATACATACAAAGAAGGAAAATGAGACCGAGGACATTATGCGGATTTTAATATGGAGCCATTGCCTAGTAATATTTTTGTCAACTTTAGAATGTTTGATTCCCAGTGCTATATAAAACACAGACAGTCTACATATATGGTTCTGGAATTAATCCTACGACAAGACATCAATTAATATTAATATAGAGGGCTTTATGGCAACCTGTACTTTTTCACCAATTGGGAATCGACGCGGGATATTTTTTATTAAACATAAGTTTGCAATTCAAAGATTGAATCGAAGACTTGAATTCCATTCATTATGATAACAGAAAGTTTTATTTTAAATCGGAGTGGTTGTAATAAGCTTTCAGAAGTAAAGAAATTAAAGTAAGTGGAAATCTTAACATTTTTTAAGTGCGAAGACAGACCTTCTTCAAGTCATAGCACTAAAGTTAGTGTCTAATCATCTTTACAAACTTTAATATATAATAATATTATAATTAATAACCAATAGTGTACTAGTACTAATACTAAAAATAAGTATGCAAATACAAGGTTTATAAATTATATATCGTTAGAAAGACAAAGACACAGGGATTAAGTGTGACAGAAATGGTGTCACTGTCAGCGGTTTTCAGAATATAAGTAAAGCCTAAAGGACAAGTCTGGACAAGACTAGTTCATTAGTTGCAATACGGCTGGTGTTACTAAACGCTACTATTGCTAGAGCCACTAATCACGGTTTGGTGACACTGGCAGATTATTTGCTTTGATGATTTCTGTAGTTTCTAAACAGTCACTTTTTTGTAGTTTTGTATTGGTATAGGAGAATAATTTCGTTTCAAAGTTTTTGTGATCTGTTTCTTAAATGCATATTGATGATATGTTAAGGCTTGTATCTGGATTTCACTTTTACATATGTGACATTTTTTGTTCTTTATGCCTTATTTCTCATCAATACTCAAATTATTAAATACGCTAGTATAATTAGGAATTCCATTGGCAATTTCTGGCACCAAAGCCTAAGGGAATGAAGCAAATTTGCTATGTTTTATGTTGTTGATAGGTGAAAGGATAGAGTTAATATTTTTTACTGGTTTGAAATTTGGTACAAGCCTGTCTATGATAGATAGTGTTATATTCTTCAAGTAGTTCAATTCAGTTAGTTAGTCTTTTGGGTGCAAAGTTATATAACATGATTTATGTAGGTGAAGTAGGATGATATTTTCTTTGATGGATGGTGATTAGATCTGATGTGTGGCAACATAATGATGGAATGGGGTTTCTTGTATACACTAGTGGTGACTTTATTATTTTCTCTTTTCACATTCACATCTAAAAAAGGTGAGACAACTGTTAGATTCTCTTTAATGTGTGAAAATTATGACACTGGGTCTTAAACAGGGGTGAAATTCTGCTGGTACTACCAATACTGAGTACTGGAATGTCCAGAAGTTGCCCTGGTCGAGCCAATCTCCTGACATGAACCCCATCGAAAACCTCTGGGCCATACTCGACCGGCAAGTCAAGAAACAACCAAAAAAACCAACTTCGAAGAGCAATCTACTGCAAGTTTTGAAGCAAGAGTGGGCCAAAAATCCCACAATCTAAAATTGACGAGATGATTCCTACGATGCCCCAAAAGATCAATG